AAATGATTTTTAAGAAAAGGACCTCAATACATTTATAGAAACATAAAAATGACAGGAAAGGACTGTACGAGATTGAAAATGATTATCACACGCAAGAGGCTGTGAAGGTCCAGAGGGATGAGTTATGAAACAATTAGACAACCTCTGGTAATCGCAAATTTTAATGTCATGCTTAAAGTGAACAGAATATCATTTATACATGTCTTTACCAACACAATATATCCATTCTCCTTTAGTTGGTACACAGGCTGCCACAAAATCACCACCTTCTTTCTTACCAGAGGAAAACTTCTGACAACCTGTATTCCAGTGCAATCATTAGAACTAACACAATTTTTTGGTTTATGCTATTTAAAAAAATAGCATGACTGGTTCAGTAGAAGATGTTTCAGGACATTGATATGTTATTAAAAGATAGTCTGCAACCCTCCAATCAACTGGGGCCTGTTTGGATTGAAGATTTTGGAAAGGTTTTGAGGGGAAGCGGGGAAGGTGTTGGAGGGCTTAGTGATCTGTTATAAATTTGAGATTTCATAGAAAATTGAACGGTAAAAAAGAATATAAGATAAGATCATATAGCATATCAAATGATGGAATTAGGGCGTGTTAAAAATGAAAGTTGAGATAAACTATGTTGAGGCAATTAACTTAGAAGTTGATTGAAAAGCAATCTGACATGGACTACAACTATAGATCTGGAAGTCAAGAAAGAGAAATACCCTCAAAGGAGGTCACAGTTTAAACATCTGTAGACAGTCAGTTGGATCCCAAACCTGTTTTATGCATCTCAAATGAGTCTTTCATAGATTATGAACAAATCTAGCATTCATGGAACATTATTGACAAGTAAACTTACCTTCACTGTGCAATCACTAGATGCTGTGATGACTCAGATCCATCAGAGTAGAAATAACATCATTTACATAAGACGTATGGCCACCAATTTCTTTTAGTAATTTTCCAGAATTCAGGCCATGGACTCTACAAAACATTTCAAGAAAACCAAAAGCGAAGACAACTTATGTTTTACAAATGCCCATTGATCTACCATGATTAACAAACCAATCTGCTCTTAACTATGATTTCACATTGCCCCGTTTGCTTAGATAAATAAAGGTACCTTACCACACCCACCCCACACAAAAATATACATATAATTTTTTTAATGTGTGTCTTGTGTTAATCAATACAAGTCTGGATCTCAAATGCATGGAAAACAATGTCGTGTGTGTGTGCAAGTGCAGGTGCAATGTTACAAGAAACCTGGTAGTACTGTCAAACAACATGCTCGAAATCTGACTTCCATCTCTAGAGAAGATAAGACTAGTAACGCCCTGAGAATGAGCTCGTTCAAGGCAACGCAAGAACTGATCAGTCCTTATTAGCCATACCTAAAATCAGAATACCGAACTTGAGTAGACTATTATGGAAAAGATCAGCAACTATGCTTTAAATTCTCTTCCCCTCTCCCTTGTTTTATAAAAGTTTGTTTGGATGACATCAAATGGAGTGGTACCGAGGGACACACTGATCTATTCTTTGTTTGGTGAGGGAGTACAGAGTAAATGAATAGGGATGGTACATGTGAATGCTTTCAACCTCTCATTCCCCGAGTATCATCCATCCGAATTGGGGTAAATGGGATGAGATGGAAAGGTGGGGAGGGGGGATTAATCAATTTAGACATAAAATCTTGTACTTTATTCCGGTTTCTTTTGTAATTTCTTTATAAACTCATCCAATCCCAGCATGGTTTGATCCTTTCCCCTCTTCTCCTTTAGTCCCCTCATCCCCCCAAATCCAATCAAGGAATAGATCGCTCCCTAAGAAAGATGGAAGATTGTTATTGCCTTGCAGACTATTACATTTGAAGAATAGATGAAAAACAATTGTATGAAAGAAAATGTGAGTCTTTGGTCAAGTTTTCCGTAAACAATTTTGCAATAAAAACAATGAAGATATATGAAGGGAACAGAAGAACATGTTAGCTATGTAAACCTGAAAATAAGTATAACATTACCTTTATTTTTCCATCTTGAGATCCATATGCAAGCACCACGGAATCTCTGCTAAAATCAACACAAAGAACATCATCATCATGCATCATAAATGGTTCCTACAAAGTTCAAAGTATGTTAGCTAAGCAAGAAGTATCACAAGCACATAAATGGAGACCATTGTTATGTGAGTCCACTGCACTATGTCATCCACTCAAGAGGAAGACCTACTTCAAACCAAGAAGCTATGTCCGTGAGTCCAAACTACGAAGCTGTGTCCGTGAGTCCGCTGCACTATGTCGGCCGCGATGGAGTAAGGCGACTTGGCATATTAAGGAGACGGAGTAAATCGATCGATCGATCTCTAGCTAGCTTGAAGGTAGGGTTCGTGCTCTCTGGAAGAAGAATCAATCGATTGATAAGGTAGGGTTCGTGCTCTAGCCTCTGGAAGAAGAATCGATCGGTTGATTGGAAAATGGAAAGGGTTAGCATAAGTGGAAAATAAGGGGAGTGGTCTGAGTGGAAAAAACTTTAAGTGTTAGATACTCCGTATGTTACAAACTCTGGCTGTGCGCACACCGGCCCAATAAGAGGAATAGTTCCTATTTGTTCAGAAAAGTGTCACTAAGCCATAGTGATATTTTTATGTTAGAAATTAGTGACACTTTTATGCCATTATTGATATTTTATCAGAAAGTGTCACTGTAAGCCAGTTTTTTACTAGTGTGATCTTATACTATGAATGTTTTCCTTCTACCAAAGGAGTTGTGTGAGGATATAGATAAGCTCATGAATGGATTCTGGTAGAGAGGATCAAAGCTGGATCAGAAAGGGATGAGATGGAGAAGCTGGAAGGCCCTTTGTAGGCTGAGAGAGGCTGGGGGTTTGGGGTTCAGACGGCTAATAGAGTTTATTTTAGCTATGCTTGCCAAGCAAGGATGTAGACTTATTAATGATGAAAGTAGTCTGATGGGGCGAGTTATTAAGGCCAGGTATTATCCAAATTCCTCTTTTTTTGCATGCAAAATTGGGTAACAACCCTTCGTTTATCTGAACAAGTATTTTAGAGACACAAGCGGTCCTCAAAGAAAATATTAGGCGAAGAGTGGGGAATGGAATTGATGTTCAAGTTTGGGCCGATGCATGGCTACCAGGTAACGACTCGAGAAGGATCTCTTCCTCTCGGTCAGTGGGCATCCAAGACATGAACGTGGCAAGATTGCGGAATATAACTGGTAGGGAGTGGAACAGAGAAAGAATATGCTCTTTATTTAATGAAGTTGATAAAGAAAGGATTCTTAGTATCCCGATTAGTACAGTTGACAGAAAAGATAGTTTTTGGTGGAATGGGGAAAATAATGGCATTTTCTCACTGAAGAGCAACTACGGAATTTTGATGGGGGATATGCATGGTATGGCGGGGGACAGTTGGAAGCAATTGTGGGAAGCTGAGGTACCCCCAAAGCTTAAATATTTTGCTTGGCAGGTACTTGACGGGTCTTTACCGATTGTTGATAATTTGAGACGTAGAGGACTGACTATACCAAATGGGTGCAAGCTTTGCACCGAGGACTCAGAATCTATGGACCACACATTAAGATTGTGTGATTGGTCCCAGGATGTCTGGCGGCGAGAAGGCTTTTCAGTAGAGGAAAACAGCCCGGTTGAGGGCTGGTTGCGGAAGAATATCTCGGTACAGGATCAAGAAAAAAAGAGTAAATTTATTTCGGTTCTATGTAGCTTATGGAAAAGAAGAAATAATGTTGTGTGGAAAGATCAGAAACAGTCGACAACTAGTGTTAGGTGTACTCAGCGATGATTATGGAAACCGTGCTGATGTTCGTAGCTTCAGGGAGAAATCGATTAGGAAAGGGATAACTTTTGGGCATGTTCTCGGGGAAGGAAACGGTGTGACCCACTCTTTAGCGGATCTAAATGTTTCATCGGCCCAAGTTGTATTTTTTTATCGAATTGGACAACTTCCCAAAGAGGTAAAGAGGAGCTATTATGCTGATCTGTTTAATTTTTCCTGTTTAATTCTTGTAATTTTATTTTGGGTCAGGTATTGCCCCCCCAAAATATCTTATGCTTTTACCTGTTTACGGTTTGTTTATATTTTCCAGAGGTATGCCTCTGTGAGAGGTTTGGTCTAGTCCCCCTCTCTTTTGTATCCTTCTCTTTTTTTAATAAAATAATGGCAAATGACTCCTGGCATTTGCCCCACTGATTTTGGTGGTTTGCCTTCCGGGATAAAAAAAACGGGGTGGCGGTTATGCTTACTAGTTGGAAATAAGTCCAAAATATCCCCAACAATTAGCCAAGAAGCGAAGAGGCTGAGGAGACGTGGAGAAAACCGGAGAGTGGTTTTATTAAGATTAATGTGAATGGGGCGGTGAACCAAGCAGCAGGAATCCGGGCATGGGGATGGGTGGCTCGGAATGCTAACGGAGATTTTATTAAAGCACAAGGGAGTTCTCGCGCAACAAACTGGGGAGTGGTCGAGACAGAGGCAGAGGGTATTAAAGCAGCTCTGGTGGCAGCAATGGAGGAAGGATGGAACAAAGTTGTTATTGAGACAGATGCACTTTCTATAGTGCAAGGATAAATAAGGGGGGTGGATCTTCATATTTATATCTAGTTTTTTATTCTATTAGGAAGGTTCTTAAAACAAAGAGTAATATTGTTATCTCTTTTTGTAAATAGTCTGCAAATCGTGTTGCTCATGTTTTGGCAAGAGTGCATGTTAATGTCTCAAATCAATGTGTTGAGTTTGAGTATGATTTGATTCCTTGTTGTATTGCTAGTCAATTGGCTAATGACTTGTTAAGTTAATAAGATTGGTTGGATTTGATGATAATAACAAAATTAATTTTTTTTTAAAATAAATCACATTAATATATGTAGCATTTTAAACTTTCATATTAATCATTTTCAATCATATTAATCAATAATCACTTTTTATTTAATCACTACAAATTCTGCAGTGATTACATAAAAGTTCTGTAGCTCAAATTTTGTCATAAAAAAAACATTTGGGAGGCGGGAGGAGCATAGTTTACTGCGCTTTATGATCGAGCATTCAAGCCTCGAGGAGTTGATCTAACCGTTCAAAACACAATCGTTTTCGTAAGCTTCTCCCGAAGCTCTCTTCTTGTTTCATCCTTAGCCATTTTACAGGGATTTGAGGAGTTAAAGTTATGGTCAGCAAATGTGAAGGGCCGGCGATCGGAATCGACTTGGGCACGACGTACTCAACCGTCGGAGTGTGGCGAGACAACCGCGTAGAGATTATAGCGAATGACCACGGTAACAAAAAGACGCCGTCCTGCCTAGCGTTCACGGACGCAGGCTTTCTCATCGGAGAGGACGCTAAGAACTCCGTCTCCGTGAACCCCATTAACACCGTCATTGGTACCTTCCTTAGAACCGCGCTCATATCATTTTATTTTCCTTGATTACAGCAAGCATTTCTACCCTATTTAGCTAATTTATTACAGGTTTGGGATTTTAGGTTTGAGGTTTAGTATAACAGTGTGATTTGTTAGAGACTGAAAGTAACAAAAAAGACTAGATTTGTGTTCTGAATTACTATTTTTATGCGGGTAATTTCTAGGTTGACTTTAACTGTGGTTTTAAAAAGCCTTATTTGAATTACTATAGATGCTAAGCGTTTGATTGGGAGGAGCTTCAGCGATCCCTTAGTACAGAGTGACATTAAGTTTTGGCCTTTCAAGCTGATTGGCGCACCTGGTGACAAGCCCAGGATAGTAGTCAAATATAAGGGTGAGGAGAAGCAGTTTTCTGCTGGGGAAATCTCTTCAATGGTTATAACAAAAATGAAGGAGATTGCAGAGGCATATCTGGGAACAACAATCAAGAATGCAGTAATCACTGTCCCTGCACACTTTAATGACTCCCAACGACAGGCCACTAAGGATGCCGGGATCATGTCAGGCCTCAATGTTATGCGTATCATCAATGAACCCTCCGCAGCTGCAATTGCATATGTTCTGGACAAGAAAGCAAGCAACTCGTCGTGCGAGAAGAACGTCCTCATCTTCGATCTTGGCGGTGGTACTCTTGATGTCTCTCTTATTACGATAGAAGACCTAATCTTTGAGGTCAAGGCCACTGCAGGTGACACTCATTTGGGAGGTGAAGATTTCAACAACACACTGGTGAGCCACTTTGTTCATGAGTTTAAAAGCCAACACAAGAAGGATATCAGTGGAAACCCTAGGGCACTGAGGAGGCTGAGGACAGCGTGTGGGAGGGCAAAGAGGATTCTGTCTTCCACTTCAAAAGCCACCATTGAACTTGATTCTCTGTTTGAGGGTATCAGTTTCTACCCAACCATTACGAGGACGAGGTTTGAGGAGTTGAACATGGATCTGTTCAGGAAGTGTATGAAGTTGGTTAAGAAGTGTTTGAGAGACGCGGAGATGGATAAGAGCAGTGTCCAAGATGTTGTCCTTGTGGGCGGATCTACTAGGATCCCCAAGGTTCAACAGATGTTGCGGGATTTTTTCAATGGGAAGGAGCTATGCAAAAACATCAACCCCGATGAAGCTGTTGCATATGGTGCTGCTGTGTATGCTGCAATGTTAGGTGGAGAAGGCACCCAGAAGATTCAGAATTTGTGTCTACTGGATGTCACTCCACTGTCTCTAGGCCTGGAGGAAGCAGGTGGTTTAGTGAAGGTTCTGATCCCGAGGAACAAAATCATCCCCTTTACTAAAGAGCACATTTTTACCACTTACTTAGACAACCAGCGTGACATACTGATCCAGCTCTTCGAGGGAGAGCGTTCAAGGACAAGGGACAATAACCTGTTAGGGAACTTTGTTATATCAGGCTTTCCACCAGCTCCGAAGGGTATCTTGCAGATCACTGTGTGTTTTAACATTGATGCTAACGGTATTCTCTACGCCTCCCTGAAAGACAAAACAACAGGCCAGAGTGGCAAGATCACCATCACCAAAGATATGGAAAGGTTCTCCAAGGATGTAATTGACAAAATTAAGGTATGTTCTGTTTTTCATTCTCTAGCTTCTTCCACCGAATTGGAAACTGTCTTATCACTTACACTGTGCTTGTGTTGTCTATTAAAACCCACACAATCCAAATGCTTCTACTAAGCAAGTAATACTATGTTTTTTAAAATCCACACTAACTCAAGTGTACAGCTTCGAGTGCCAAAGCGGCCTAGACCTGAGGAGTCTGCCACTTCATTTTCTCAAAGGAGCAACCAGGAGATGGAGATTCTCAAGAAAAGGCTTGTTGAGTTAGAGAAGGAAAACAAGTGCCTCTTAGAGAAGACGGAGGCGAAACATAGGGAGGTGGAGGAGTACAAGGAGCAAATGGAGAAGTGGAAAGCGAAGGCTCAGACCTCAGCAATTGAGGCCGTGAGAGCTTTCAAAAAGTCCCACGAGCATGCCCAAGCCATGGAAGATGCGGAGAGGGCTCAGATGGAAGACATTGTACTCGAGTGTCTGAAGACTGTAAATGTCCTGGATTAGAGCCCTGGAAAAACTCCCCTCCCACTCAAAACTGATATAGTCATACCTTACAACTAGCCGGAATACATTACCAGAAGCAAGAACTAGCTTTGATGAAAGGGTGATGTCATATGTTGTGAAATATGATCTTGCCACATATGTATTTTGTAATAGTAGTCTTTTTTGTACGTATAGCATAGTCCTTTACCGTGTATGCATTTTGCAAGACAACTGTCTTCTGTCTACATGAGATAAAACTAGTCTTACAAATGCATGTTTGGCAAAAAGACTAGATTTTTTTGTATCTATAACATGGTATTTTTTGACGTATGCATTTTGTAAGAATAGTCTTTTTGCCACGTTCTAGTCTTACAAATGCATGTTTTGCAAAAAAACTAGACTTTTGTTGTTGTATTCTTTTTGCCACGTACTCACTTTGTAAAACTACTCTTTATGTCACATATGCATTTTGTATTTTGTACAACTTCAAACAAGCCGTCTGACATTGTGTGCGTATTTGTTTGTATGTGATGTATTTGACCTTTTATTATACTACATCTGAAGCTGGGAGTTTGGACATGGTTTGCTTAAAGAGGTAACTCAAATTACAATCTCTATTACATCACCAAAACTTGTCTGAATGTTATTGATTATCATATCACATCACAAACAACCGATATTATATCTCCATGAATCTTAAGATTTTTGTTTTCCAAGGAAAGGGTGTGTTTTGCCCCATTGCTGAAGGAAGCCTCACAGCTATCGCTGTCTTTTTGCACAGTTGAGGCTGCTGAGGCAACATCATTCTTGACATCAGGTGCCGAGCGAGAATCCAGAAGCTGAGATGCAGTGTTCAGAGCTTCGACAGCCGCACTATAGAAATTGGAACACTGAAAGTAAGCCACAAGGTTAGGATCATTTGGCTGGTTCATATAACTCTTGATTTTATCACTCGTCCCCAATGCATAGTTGGCTGCTTCTGATACTGCAGTTTTGAGAAGATCGGTTGACGATTTGGAAGGACTAGCAGCCAGAACTCGAACGCAGAAACTTGAGTCTATGCTTTTAGCACACAGAGCTTGTATGGTTTGCTCACCTGTGTTTTGTTTCACAAAGAAGAGGAGGCTTAGGAATATCAAAGTGGGTAAACAGATTGAAAAGTTGGCCATGGTTTTTTGTGGGGATCTTGAGATTTGAGATCTTAATATTATATACGAAGTACAATGTCAGATTAGGGAGGATTGAATGCTATGCATGGAAAGGAATTAAGTTTGGGATGGAGATTCAGCCAAATATGGGAGTATCACATTCTTTATGGAATGATTATCTGCCATTTTCTGCTTTCTTGTAACCGTTTTACCACATTTGTATTAAATTATTTCATTTTTTTTGTTTTATATTTTTGGTGAAAGGGGAAATCCGTTGTTCCTACTCAAGGAGAAGGGCGGACATGGAGTAAACATCTGATCCCGTGTAAGGATGTTTTCTTTTGGACTAAAATTTGCTGGTTTGGTCTGGTCTGATCTGGTCTGTTAAACGTCTGGTTTCTGTGTATTTTATAACTACAGAAGTTTGGTGTGATCTGGTATGGTCTGATCTGGTCTGGTCTGATTTGGGACTGAAAACAATCCAAAAGAAAACATCCTAACAAGTAGCCAACGTCGGGTATTAAGAGAAGACATATGTCACTATCAGCAAAATAAGGCCAAATTGTTGTATTATTAACTCTTGTTTTTTCTAAGTCGAATCTAAAAATTAGAAGAAAGTGGCTGTCTCCCTCGTGCGTAGGGTTTTCTCTCGGTGCGATTAGTAGCGTCGCAGGTTTTTTGATCGACGATTTTGGGAAGCTTCGAACGTAGCAGGGCAATGGCGACGTGCACTTTGTTGTGTATCCATCGTAACTCGTAAGCTAGGAAGCACGGAAACTCTCCATGGCTCACGTTTCCACGTTTCGGAAACTCGGAAGCGTTTCGGAAACTCGGAAACTTCAAATTCCCATTTCGGGGCCGTTTCCGTAATTAAGAAAAATTTGGAAACCCGTTTCACTACGTTTCGGAAACCTTGGATTCCAATTTTTTTTCTTTTTCAAAAGATTCTGTGGTGGAAAATAATTTTTATAGTGAATTTTTGTGGTATTTCTCAGCGGCAACACTTGTTACATTTCGTAACGCAATGTATTGCTAGAAATGTATTACTCCGTGGATTTTATGTTTTATTATGTACTAATATGAAATAATATCTAAATTCGAACATGTAGAGTGATTTTATTATGTGGTTATTAAACAAATTATATTAAAAAAACATGTGCATATGAAAAAACTTGTGTACATATATTAAAAAATATTTATAAACATATCCTTATATTTTATAATATTTACGCGTTTCCCCCACGTTTCGTGTCCTATATTTTTTTAGAAATTACGTTTCTTGCGTTTCCCGTTTCCCGTTTCACGTTTCCCGTTTCCGTGCTACTTAGCTCGTAAGGTAGGGTAATGACGTGCACTTTGTCGTGTATGCACTCAAAATAATAATCAATACGACACTAATACGTAGTATAGTGTAGTAAGGTTTGTATCCATAGGGAAAAGAATACTTCTCTTTTTACAAAACTAGAGATAAGTAACGGGGGGGGGGGGGGGGGGGGGTTAGTTTGATTTGATGAACTTAAATTATATTTGAACCAATTGAACACGAAGATGAACGACTTATGTGGTTTACTTAATAAATATGAAGACTTGACTTTGCTTTTATCCACTTAATGAAATGTTCGTCAATCCCGGTTATATCTTTAACTATCTTCCTCTCGAATACCCAATCGAGGAGTATATCCAATTCATCGAGGGTAGTTATTAATAACGAGACGCGTTCATTAATAAAACTTACTACCGAGTCAATATAGAACACGCGTTGTATATTCACTCGATAGTAGCAATAAAATCAAGATGAAAACGATTGAGATTGATAACCTCAACACAAGCGGTTTATTGGTTTATTAACTATAAGACGCATGCATTAATAATCCAAGTTTACTACCGTGAAAGGACCGAATTAATAACAAGCGTATTAATCGACCGATTCTAGTATTAATTAATATATGAAACAAAACTAGTTGATCCTTTAAGTAATGCTCAAAATATTAATATGAAATAGGAATAGGAATTAATTAATATTCAAGGAAGAAGATTAAAGAAAATAACTCACAACTTACAATTCATTAAGCTTCAAAGTAGCAAAACCAAGATGGAAGAGTTTAGCTCCTCATTTGGAGACTAAACATGAAGAAAATATAAAGAAATAACTTGTCTAAACTGAGCTTAGAAGTATATAGGAATTGGTGATTTTTGTGGGAAGAAAAGGGGTCTATTTATAGGAAAATGGAGCATGCAGGGGTGTGTACTCGATCGGGTATAGAAGGCTCCCGATCGGGTACACTCAGAAGCTTCCCAGAAGCTGAAAAACAGGGTCATACCCGACCGGGTCTGTCGGTCACCCGATCGGGTATGACACTCGAACATGGCCAAAATCTTCCCCGCATGTTGCTTGGTTCCCGGGTTGATCCGATTTGATTTTCTAACAGGGTACCCGATCGGGTATAGGTCATACCTGACCGGGTACAACACAAAAATCAAAATCTCCATTTTGTTTTGAGATTTTTGCACCTTCCTTCCACTTGTGATGTTCACCAATGGTCCCCAAAGTGTTCTTGGACCTGTTTGAGCTCAGAATAAACCTAATCTAAACAAATTACAAATATTTTTATAAACTAACTATTACACGAAAAGTGTGTAATTTCCAAAGTAACAATCAATCAAAACTAATTAAAAATACAAACATAAACATGGAAATTACATGAATGTCAGGTAACGGGGTTGGGGGACTGTTTGGGTGCAGGGATGCATATTGTTCGTGGCAGAGGCTGGGTTGGAGGGGGCTTGGCGGTGGAGAAGATGACCGCTAGCGGCAGTTTTGCTACGAGTGAAGGACAATGAGAGATGCACGGGTTTCGAGTAGGCCAGATTTCGATCGACAACGGAGGATCAATTAGAGTGGCACCAATGGCACGACCTCCTCCGATCCTGAACCACCGCCATGTAGAGCTGTCAAACGGGTCAACCCGACCCGACCCGTGACGGGTTATGCTTTATGTGGGTTGGGTCGGGCCAGCCCGTTTAGTGACGGGTAGGCTTGGACTCGGTGTGGGCCACCCGGCCCGGGAACTGGCCTGGCACTGTGTGGGCCCGACCTGGGAACCGGTTCCGGGTCTAAGCCCGGTTTGTGAGGGTAACCGGGGTGGGTATGGGCTATGTGAAATGCGAATTGGCCCGGCCGGGCCCGGATCCGGTACAGGCCTAAACTAGTTTTTTTTTTCTTTCAATTTTTTTGGTTTCAGCCGGGTGGGGCTGGGTGTTTTGGGGTGGGGGGTTTGGGGGTGGGGGTGAGGGGGGGAGGGTCAGGGATAGTTAGAAAAGCAAAAACAAAATTAAACCGGCCCGTACCCGGTGGAAACCGGGTAACCGGGGCCGGTTCCGGGCCTTCCCCCAACCCTCAAAAGCCCGGCCAGGCCTAGGCCCGACCCGGTCCCGAACTGGGCCCGGTCCATGACTAGTGACGGGCCAAGATTTCTACAACCTTAACCCGACCCACCTAACCCGTGGGTTAAACGGGTTGGCCCGCGGGCCAATGTAAAAAAAATAATGACAAAAGATTTTTTAAAAAATAATTACCCTGGACTATATATTTATATTAGTTAGTAGTAATAAGGGAAATATAAGAAATCAAAATACTAAGAACTAAATACTTGTTGAGTTTAATTAAAAAAAATATTAAATACTAGTTATACGAGAATTTGAAAACTATAAGAGGGTGTGTAACAAAAAATACTCATTGTATAAAAGTAAAGATCTATTTAAACCTTTTGATTGATTATTTGTAAATCATGACTAGTAATTGTCAAATATTGTATCAAACTTCACATAAAATATGTGTTTCAACATTTCATTTGAACATTTATTATAGAAATAATAATTATTTTGCAATTTGTCGTAATTTTATTAATTGTAATTATAATATTTTTGGTAGTAAAAGAACAATATCTAATCTAAAAACCTTATATTTGTGAATGAGTGTTGGTACCCCCTTATTTATGTCAACATAAGGTATGCACAATGAATTGTACATTGTTGTTAAAAATTTGGACCTCACTTATCACATGTACTTTTATAACCTTACACATCGTTAAAGCTTCATCCTTCCGTTAAGTGATTCAATTAAATGGAAGAACTTTAAGTAACATGTTACTCCGTACTATTTTAGTCGGCACTCCTTCAAATCTGAGTGATTGAAGAAACGGCAATAGCACAACAGTAAAAAGCCTAAAAGTTTTGCTCTATTTGCTTATAAATTCTCCAATTCCGTAGATTGCATTTGAAATTCAAGCAAAAAACAATTTTCTCTTAACTTTTAATGGCAGGTTGCATGTGAAATTCAAAACCTGTTTGGTAATACTCAAATTAGCCGAATCAACCGATTTTGCTAAAATCTATGAAGTTCTAGCTGAAGTGGATGATTCTTTTGATTTATGAAAAAATTATATTTAAGATAGATTTTATTACTGAGATAAAGGAAAAAAATATATGAAAACTATATAAATGGCACTGTATAGTAACTTCAGCAAAAAATAACTCAAGTGTTACTTATTTTGATTATTAGCTAATTTGAGGAAAAATCTCATGTTTTATGAAAAATAATGTCACCAAATGGGCTCTTAATTTGAGGAATTTAGCTCCTTTACTGGATTCTAGAGGGAGTGGCTCCGGGTACAACCGACCTCACACGTAAAAAATTTTAACATCTTATGCGTGACTCAGGACCTCATCAGATTCTAAAATACAAGCTACTTAAAGATTAACCTATCTACAAGCAATCTCCTATTTACAAGGATGCACTTATTGAAGCTCAACTCTAGGAAGATGATGGTTTCACCTCTATTGTCTCTAGAAGGGACAAAAAGTGTAATGTCCCTCAGATAGGACCGTGCAATCTCGGCAACAATTTAAACGGGCTTAGGATGTTTTGGGGAGTTTATCAAGGATCTTATAAAAGCGATGTGGGTTGTTCTTTCAACGCTCGGGGATTTCTAAAACTTGAGGATTTTCAATGGAACCAGCTCTAAATCATACTCCCTCTGTCCCGCTAAGATTGTTCCATTTTACCTTTTCGGGAAGTCCCACTAAGATTGTCCCATACCAAATTTGGTAAAGATTGTGTGGCTCTAAATCATTCTTACTTTATTCTTACTTTATCAATTTAATATCAACCACACAAATCAACTTTTCTTAATAATCGTGCCACCTTCTCTCGTCCCAATCTTAGTGGGACGGAGGTAGTATTTGATTAACCAGCTCTAAATCTTATTTTCTTTTGCACTACTTTTCTTTTGCACTACTTTTCTTTTCATTAGTTATTGACTTGATTAGCTCTTGTTTCTCATTATTGTCGCCTGGCTTGCCGGCGTTCACTCCCATGTGGCTGAATTCACTTTTGCGATTGTACTTTAACTTCTCTTCTTTTGAAAGAAAAAAATAACTCTAACTTCTCTTTTATTAATAAATCCTTTCCTATTTGAATTTTTTTTTGAGGAATTTGGCTATAGCCATGGACACATAATTTGAGGGAAGATCTCATAACAATTACACATGTAATAGTTCTCCACAAAAAAAACATTACTTTAATACTAGTCTTTCACCCGTGCGTTGCACGGGTATTCAAAGTATAGTAATGCACACATACATCTCGATATTACAGAAGTGTTACCAAATATTTAGAGTAGCCTATATCAGCACGTTTAA